TATTATCATGATCATGATTGTCATTATTATCATTACCATTATTTTTAATTGCTTATTATCATTATTATTATCATTAATATCATTATCATTACCTTTATTTGCTGATTATCATTATTTTTTTTTGCATTATTATCATGATCATGATCGTCATAGTTATCATTATTATTATCATTGTTATTATTAACGTCATTATTGTTATTATTATTCCTGTCATTACTGTTGTTATTGTTGTTGTTATTATTATTATTATTGTCACCATTGCTGTTATTAGTATGATTGCCTTTATTTGTTATTATAACTATTGTCATTATCATTATTATTACTATTACGAATGTTATCATTATTTTCTTTATACTGTTTTTGCGATTATCATTATCATCCCCACTATTCTTCTTATTGCTGTTACTCTTGCCTTTATCATTATTATCATTACTGTTAGCATCATTATCATTATTGGTATCATCATCACAATCATTATCATCATTATATTGACATAATATTCTTACGATTATGATCATGAGTATGCCTACTATACGATCTATAATTCTTCTAAATATCAGCATGCAATAAGAAAGGGGAAAAAAATATATATAAATAATTTTCTTCATGTTTACAATAACACGAGTGCAACTGCCAGGTCTCTTATCTTATCATAAGTTATCGATCATCCTTTGAAAAAAGAAAGAAGCAAATGAAGATATCTTTAGTGTCTGTTCTCACGAAAGTTAGATATTAACATATGACGTGTAGTTAAAATTAATGCATTTTTATCCAGTGGAAATTTGATATCTGATAAGGAGAAATATATCTTAGAAAAATAGCGTATATGAATGTTTATATTTTACAAGTATAAGAGTATAGGTGTGATGGTAATGATATAATGATGATGTGTTGATAATGATGAAGCATAATGAAAATAATGGTAATAGTGATGATGGTAATGATGATGACTATAGTGATGACTAGTTTGATGATAATGATAATAATAGGATAAGAATGATAGTAATGATGATATATGTTAATGTAAATGGTGTTCATGCTTTTGATATCAATTGATAATGATAACATAGTAACGGTGATAATTGTAATAATCATAATATTGTTATTGATAATAACAATAATAATAATAATATCAATAATAGTAATAGTAATGATAATTATAATAATAATAATGATAATAATAATGATAATAATGATAATAATAATGATAATGATAATAGTAATAATAAAATAATACCGATAATAATAACGACATTTTTTTTTAAGTAACAAAAGTCACCGTATCTCAATGGTCAGTACGTTATCCTATGATATTATCATGATAATAATGATAAAGGTAATCATGTAATTTGACTATGGTTTAAATCGATTCCAGGATTTTTTTTCTGTTTATTAATTACCCCGTTTATTACCACCGTGAACAGCGTTTGCAGTGACCGTTAGAATCACCGTGAACATTAAACGTTTTCTATATCCTTCAGAGACAGTACTTAATTAGTAAATATTTTCTAAACTAATAATATTTTGCAGAACTCCGGGTTGAAGATAAATTGTTGATTACATTTTCGATCTTTAAAATTCAGATGTCACATAAACCTAAATGAGGCGAGGTGAAACATATATTAATCAAGCCATTTATCATCATTATCATTAGTAGAAAAAGTATTTTTACTATCACTTATCATATAGCCATATCTATTAGCTCTATTATCTTTATCATGATCATTATTTCCATAAATATTCCATCATTTTTTTCATTATCATCATTTCTATAATCATCGTTCTGTCATCATCATTATTATCCTATAATCATTTCATCATTCATCATCACCATCGCCACCCTCATTAACATCATCATCAGGAGAATACATAAAAAAACAAGAAAAAATAAAGACAAACAAACAAAAATACACAAAATATTTTGGATATTTTCAGATTTTTTTTTCTCATGCGTATAAGATCACGCATTTTAAAATGTCTTAGGGCTGTTACCTTGTTATTGTTATCCCCAATCTTGTTATTATCATCGTCACTCTTCTGTTATCATTTTATCAACCAAACTCTTAGAAGAAAAAAAAATATTCGCAGGAAATGGAATGAGGACATACGATGGTGACGTCATAACAGAACTCGTGCCATAAAATGAAGATTATTATCAATTAGGGATATTTTTTTTATGCTGTTTTTTTGGATGATGATTGGGGTGGTGATGATGATGATAATAATGGTGAAACAGTTATGGTATTGCTAACGGTAATAAATACTTAGTTGTTGATGATGATTAATAATGATAATGATGATGATTAATAATGATAATGATGATGATTAATAATGATAATGATGATGATTAATAATGATAATGATGATGATTAATAATGATAATGATGATGATTAATAATGATAATGATGATGATTAATAATGATAATGATGATGATTAATAATGATAATGATGATGATTAATAATGATAATGATGATGATTAATAATGATAATGATGATG